TTCCGGTTCAAAAAACCTCAAATCTTTGAGCAAACCGGGCCTAATTGCATAGAGAATTTCTAGATCTGGATGGTATACAGTATGCCGCCACATCACCTAACTCTTAGAACATTTTTGACTTTGAAAAAAAAAACGGTACGGATTTATCTGATGATCCAATAATATAGTTAGAACAAATAAACTTACTAGTGTCATTTCGGGGTTCTCCATTTGCTTTTCTTGTATCTCTTCCACTTCCTTCACAGTCGGCATCATTGTTTTCAAAATCTTCTCAATACCGTCTTTGTTTAGAACCATTGAGTCAAATTTCTAGAAGTTGGATTCGTGAATAGCTAGTAACACAGCTACAAAAGTAATAATTGAGCACCATTATAGCCGTGGGAATCACGTTAATCGGTGGCAGCTTTGTCAAACCAATATTAATAGCTTGAGAACGCTTCATGGACAACACTTGCAACACTGCTGGCTTCGTATCGATTGATTTCTGATTTCATTCTTAGTAACTAATCATTCATAAAGTTACTACAGTTGTTTGTAATGAGCTACATCGTATCTTACTAAGAATAATGTACCTTCAATGTGACTTCTTTATTATGTTTTGTTTCAAAAAGTTGAACGAGTTTGTGTGCATCTATCTGAGGCTGATCTAACTTGTTCCAAAACGATCCTTTCTGTTTTAACGATGGCACTGGCGGCGGTTCAGCTGATGTCGGTTTCCAATGCAGCTTAATGACGCCTTTTCCGGTGGATGGACCTACATTATAGAGTAAATGAATAAACCGTAGGTTTAAATCATAAACAGATAACCTAGATATTTTGCAACTGGAAAAAATGTCACCTGGGCTAGTTTCTCTTTTGAAGTTTGGAGGAGGAGGAGGAGGAACACCACCAGGTAAAGGAGGAGGGGGAGGTATGCTTCCACCCTGACCTTGTACTAAAAAAACATTTGAAAAATTGCGATATGTACCTAAATGTGTCGTGGCCTACATCTCGGTGGAAGCGGGATTCCGCCGGGGGGCGGTGGAGGAGGAGGTCCACCATTCACTCCAGGTCTCCCACTTGGCAGCATTCCCTTATCCTGGGCCATCTGAGCTAATCGAGCCATTACGAGAGGGTCTTGTTCGAATTCTTCTGCATGAAAAGCACTAAAGTCCAAATCGTTAATGATCAATGGACGTGACTTTAGATTTTCTGCGGCCTGGAAAGCATAGTATTAGATTTACTGAGGCAGCAAGCATGCGCCAAATTCACTACCTTTTTCCA